TGAACTCGATGGCCTCGTTGTCTTTGTGTTTCCCCTTCAACTTCTTGGGATCCTCCACCCAAAGCCGAAGCGCCAAAGAGGTATCAAAACCTCCGTCGTCCTCCGCCAACTCCACCCGTAACCCCGTGTCCTCGGCGAAGAACGCGTGGTTCAACAGGTCCCGGATGGAGAGCCTACGTGGCGGGGGCGTGGTCAACACGGCCGGTGTCACCCCCGCCGAGGAGGGGGACATCCCCAACCTGGACATCTCCCACCTCTCCGCCTTGTTCTGCCGGATGCATCCTTCGATGATCTCCTTCACCTCCGGGTCCGTCACCTTCTCAAAACTTGCCGGTTTGATGCCCTACGAGAAGAAGGACGGCGGTGGTGATGCCACCACCGGGTTGAGGACGCGGCCGGTGGTGACGCCACCACCGCCGGGACCGGGACACTCACGCTGGTGACTTTGCGGTAGATCTGAGCGGCGTTTTGACATTCGGAGTAGGGATATTCGGAGGTGCCCATCTCCAACATGCACATGCCGAAGGCGTAGACGTCCACCGATTCGTCGTAACGTTCCTCGTACATCTCCGGCGCCATAAATTCCGGCGTTCCTACGGAAGACGGAGACGGAGAAGAGTTGACCCCGTCACCCCCCCGCGGACGTTTTTGGGCGCCCCCTCCTCTTACCGATGACGCTTTTGGCGAAGGAGGTCCTCATGAGGGTGGCCAAACCCAAATCGCCGATCTTGACGGAACCGGTGGGACCGGTGATGAAGATGTTGTCGCATTTGAGGTCCCGGTGGATGATGGGCGGCGTCCGGGTGTGGAGAAAGTGGAGACCCTTCAAGATCTGCCGACACCAGCTCCGTAACACCTTGGGCTTCATCACCTTGAACCTCTTGAGATACCTGGTGGAGGAGAAGACCCGCCGGCATCTCCTCGGCTTCCCTTCTCCCACCCGCGGGCCACCGAGATGTCACCTCACTCACGTCTTGAGGGTGCCGGAGGTCATGAGCTCGGTGACGAGGACGATGCACTTCTTGCCCTTGACCGTGGACTCCCAAGAGTCGTAGAAGCGGACGATGTTGGGGTGCTGCAACCCCTTCAGCATCTCCGCTTCCTCCTTGAACCGTTGTTGCTCTGCCTTGGTCAACTTGCGGTCCTGGGAGAGGTGGGAATGGAGGAGGAGGAGAAGACGACCTCAAAGCCCGTCCTCGGCTCGAAGGGCTTTGGAGAAGTGGAGGTGGGAGGAGGCGAGGAGGTGGGAGGGGGCGACGAGGGGATCGGGGAG